GGGCCGCCGCAGGCGCCCCCGTCCCCGGCCGGGGCCGCCGGGGCCCGCGCGAGGCCGGCTGTGAGGGAGAGGCGCCCGGAGGACGGTGCGGGCGGCCCCGCCGCCGCCGTCCGCGGCAGCGCCGGCGGTGGAGGCCAAAACCTCACGAATGCCGCAGCTGCCGCGTTGTCGGCGCTTGGCAACGGGGGCGGCGGCGGCGGGGGCGCCGCGGGTGGCGGCGCCCCCAGCTCGAGCACGCTGCAGGTTGTGAACGCACACGTTGCGGCCGCGATGAAAGACATAATGCTGCCGCTCCACTCCACTCTGGGTGGCAAGGGCGCCGCGGCCAGCGATCCTGCACCCCAGCTGCAGCACCGGGACCCCCGGGTGTCCCCTCAAGCGCTGCGTGGCACAAGGAGCGCGGCACAGCACCACTCGCAGCAGCAGTAGCAGCAGCAGCAGCAGCAGCAGCAGCAGCAGCAGCAGCAGCAGCAGCAGCAGCAGCAGCAGCAGCATCAGCAGCATCAGCAGCATCAGCAGCAAGAGCAGCAGGCAGTAGCAGTACCAGTCACACCCTTGCCCCCAGCAGGGGCCGCGGGGCGCGCCGTGACGCCGGGTCCAGGTCTGGCGCAGCATGCTGGTGGGGGGGGGGGCAGGGAGAGGAGGGAGGGGAAGCCCGGCGCAGAGCTTGAACAGCAGCATGGGTTTGGACTTCGAAACGACCTCCTTCACACGGGTTTGCCAGGGATCCCACTTGGAAGGCGCACCTGGTGCTTCATCTGGCATCAGAACCTCTTCCTTGCTTCGCTCTGATCCTGCATTGGTTGCCTTTGTCCCTTGCTGTGATGCATGATTGCCCTCCAAACCGCCCTGTTCACGGGCGCCGGTCTTGTGTCCGATTTCCTTTGCATGTTCCATTCTCTGGCGTCTCGACCCGACCCACTGGCGCATTTGAACGCACGCGTTTTGCGCAGGCCGCTTTGTTGCGCAACGCACCCCGCCGCCGGCAAACCCGCGGCACGGCTAGAAGACCATGTCTAGTCGGCCTGGGATTGCTGATTGCTTTGGATTTTACTTGGGTTCATCAACAACAATCACGCACTCGACCAGAAGGGAATGAACCCTCCATACTGCCAATGCCATGCGCTGTGCAACGCGTCGTTGCACTGCCGGTGTCCCCGTGCTGTGTGCTGCGCCGTTGCAAGATGCCAGATACGAGTTTCACAGCGGTGTCTCATCAAGCTGCTTTTGTGCGTGCGCACCCACCCTACCTTCCGGGCAAGCACCCGGTGTTTGGCTTGCAGTGTGTGACATCTGTTGGCCAGCCTGTTGAGTCTCCTGTAAGTCATGGGGAGACTAGCCAGGGGCTTGCCTTTCACACACCTTCCTGTGCAACTTGGCGACGCGAGGTAATGGAGCAAACAAGATTCGGCCGAGGGGAGGTGGTGGCCGTGGTGCCAGAGCAGATCATGTGTCAGGGTGCACCAATGAGCACAGGAGTTGACCACGTCTGTTCTGCTTACTGAGCATCATATATCTCTGCATGGCGTTCAAAACAAGTGCAAAGTTACCATAGTAGAACTTGTTCGCATTGACTCTGTAAAACGTACAACGGGCGCCGCAAAGCGAATCCGCACAGCCCAGGCTCAGGTGATCTTCCCTTGGTGCATAGAGCTTCATCTCCAACGCGCGTGCTCATCGAGCACGCATCATATATGTATGCATATCTACCTATCAATGTGACAATTGACGTGTCAGCTCATGACACATGCGGCTCGGATTGCCAAAGAAGCGGGTGGGGGCCACCGTGGGGCATTGATACCGTACACAGGCCACCCGCCACGCTCGCAGTCAACAACATTTATTCAAGTGCAAATCGCCACGCTTGTCACGCCTGAGTGTGATTGCCGGTCTTTGTTGCAGCGCCACGGCACAGACTCGCATGTTCAACGCTTTGAATTTGGGTACTGCAGATCGCCAGCTTCATTGTTGTACGCGATTCAAGTCGCACAGTCACAAGATATGAAAGCGTGAACTGCTTCGCTGCCTGCAAACGCCCGCCCCGCTGCTGCACAGAGTGCTGCGTGTTGCGAAGTGCGCAGCAGCAGTGGAGCATTTCAGCAGTGGCAAGCCGCAGTACAGCCGCTGCATGCGCACGGGTTGTCGCGATGGAGACCCCGCTGTACACAATGTCGCAAGCCGACTTCGATCACTACATGGGTAAGCCTCAGGCTGGCGGCAAGCCACCCGTGGTGCAGCTCGCGGCAACCAGCATCCACGCAGGCGGCCGCACAGCGCCATGTCCCCGGGTGCGATGCATGGGTGCTGTGCGTGCTGCCAGCCCTGTCCTGATAGTTCACTGATTGCATGTCCGGAAACACTGATCCCTGTTTCAGCTTACCGCGCTGTCCCATGTTGCCTTCCCTCCTGCAGGGCGCTACTGCAGGCGGGCTGGTGAGTGCCCGCCCCCGCGACGCACCTCGATTCGACTCATTCCATGCCAACTTCAAGGGCCGACGAATGCATGGTACAGCCTCCGCACGGCGTTGCATCCTGCATGGGCTCCCCTCATGCCTCAAACGCCCCCCCCCCCCCCCCCCCCCC